AATGGACGCAAATTCAGATTTAATTGCTGATATGATGGAAAAAAGTCACAGATCAGAATATTTTTCAGGCAAATGTATTTTATGGTTTTGGGTTTTTTTAATTTCAGGGTTTTTTCTCCAATCACCTCAGCATTTGCACTTCACTTTCTTTTGCTTGCTTCTTCTCTTTTCCCTTACAAATGCATAAACAGAAATCCAAGTATCTACACTCTGATAAGCTGCAGTCTTTCAAAATGAAACTTTTACAGTCATCTCAAAATCCTTGTTTCTTCTTTGGTGGCACAAACAAAAAAAAATAATGTTCTAAGATAAGCATGTGATGTTTCTTACTTTTCTGAACTAGGAGAACAATTTTTTCAATGTCATTTGCACATTTTTAGCTTTATGATTATCTGACATAATAGGTAACACAGCTCATTATGAACAATATTTGTCTTCTTGTAACGTCAAAAGTGTTTTGTATACTTTAGTTGTCAGCACATTATTCTGTTACCTTTTCTTTCAAAAATGCAGTGGAATGGTGCCAGAAGGGACAGTTTTAGCAGCAGGATTTTATTATTGTTTCAAATCAACAAGCAATGTAATAAGATTTTCTAAAATACCCTGCCCTCACAAGCAAACCTTGTGTCCAGCCAGTGGGAAAGTGACAGAAAGAATGATTCCTTACAGTGAAATTTCATTTGAAGCTACATAACTAATTGCAGCTTTAAAAATGATAAATCAGGTTGAAATTTCTAGTAAAAAAACATAAATCTATTTTCAGTATCTTAGCTTCTTGCTATTCACATCTGTTCATAAATATTTACAGGTTTTTTTCTTTTTATATTTTCTTTTTTTGTATTCACATTCCTTTGCACACTATAATAATGGTTGCTATGCTCTTGGACCCCAAAACCCCATATTCCCATATCTAGGTGCATGAACATAAATTAAAGACTTTAGTCAGGAATGAACTTCTCAAGAGGTTCAGTTCCAGTGAAGAAGAGATGTTGGGTTCGAAAATCAAGGGCTGGTGGCAACAAAAGGGGAAAAGGACAAAAAGAATTTTGTGTTCTTCCTTTCTGGATTTTTTGGAGCCAGTTTTTAGCAACTGCTGGATTTGGACATCACTGGGGCTGTGCTGCATCCTCGAGTGCTGAGGCATTAAAGGAGCTCTGTTTGAAAGGATGCACTCTGGCAAACCACAGCTACCAGCAAGGCTGCTGACACTGCCACCGTGCTCTCAGCTGCCATCCAAGACACTCCATCTTCAGGAGGCTGAATAAACACTCTTCCCAAATGTCTACCTTGCAGTGCTTGAAAAAACCATTACAGACTGTCTGGAATAGGAGTGGAAATAATGCAGCTCTTTTAGATGAAGATCCGTAGCAGGCTAGTAGAGGTTCTCACGATGCAGTTTCTTGTATTACAGAGGACACTACATCTTTTATGTGCTCAGACACCAGACATTTGGGAAAACAACTTGCTGAGCTCAAGACCTTGGCATGTTTTCTGTTTTTTTCATTTTTCTAGATACAGGTCTCAAGCTTCAAAATGACACGTCTGCTTTCTTGACCCTGCTTATAAAACTTTCCCCAATAAAAAACATAAATCTGGGGAAAACTGGGGTGTATACAGGTTGTGTCTGTAGCTATTCCCTGAGTTCAGCTACTTATTGAAGGAAATGATCCAGGGGTTACTAACCATGAACAGTGGCAGCAATGAGCTCTCAAAATAAAAAGAGGAGGCATAAAGGTTATTTTCCCCTCCTCTTCAGCACTATCTCCAGCTTTATGATTAAGTTACCATTTTTCTTGCTTTTCTCCTCAACCCTCTTTTTTCTTTTCTTTGGTCATGTGGTCTTAGAGCAGGACTGACTGGATAATGACATTTTCAGGTAGACAAAAAGAGATTCTTTTGTACTTTGCAGCATGCACAGTATCCCAGGGAACAATGCAACAATATTTTTCATAGATAATTTCATATTCCTATTTCCCTCCACTACCCTTTTCCCTCTAAGAGACTGTCTGAAACCATTCCATATGCACAGACTAATAATCATGCAATTTCACATCTCTTTGTTGAGATGAGGTATATTTGTTCTGGGAACATATTCACAAGCAAGAACACCTAGCTAAGCCAGTCAAAGCTATAAACCTTCCTGAAACAAGTTCTGTAGTCAATTCAAAGCTAAAATCGAGGATCTGTTCTAAAGAAAGCCTTGTTAAACTGTCTGATTATGACTCTCAATTAAATCCACATTTTAGAAAAGATCTAGTACAGTATCACATCATATTCTATTCAAACTGATTTTGCTAATTTTATATTATGCACTGTAACATTTATTGAATCACATGAAGGATTATAACAGACTTCAAAAAATGTTACATAAATACTAAGCTACGTTTTCTGAAGTGTTGCCTCTCTCTTTGTGAGCTGCCTTTGGAACTCCACAGACATAATGGCAGCACCAGAGTGCCTTCCAGAAACCTACAGGAGATCCAGAAGATGGTTCTGGTCTGCTCCAGCAGCCACCAAAACAGACAGTCAATATCTTTCATATGAATGTTTGACACTACAGGGATACAGCAAAAACAGTAACTGCAAAACAGTAATTTATTGCTTAGGCAGATGCTAAAGGCTTTACTTATTATCCTCTCTCCCCAGAAACCAAATATTTGTAGGATGCAAGTGCAACTGCCAATGAAGAAAGGCTTTGCTTTCATTAAAGGAAGGATTGAGAAATTCTATTCATAGACTACTGGTTCCACTTGAATGTCTTAGATTCTTAGATATCACCAGGAAGAGTGTGGGCTAAGTGATACGGTAAAATTATAGCAGTAAGTGGTTTGGAAAGCTACAAAATCTGCTACCACACTGGAAAGCTATCATTGTCTCTAAATGGTAGTAATCCCTTTTCTCATTTGCAAGTACTTCTTAAGGTATAGAGACTAAAGGACATAATATTTACAAATTTTATTCATATTTATCAAACCCAATGTACAAATTATTTCTGTAAAGTTGTTCTATTAATTTATAAGGTCCTGTCTTTGTCCACAGAGAATATCTGTAGCATTTGTCTGAAACCTATGGCAGCTCTCTGAAGATGCTCATAAACCACATTTTGACTTTCTTGAGAAATTGAGTTATTATTACCACATGCCCTCTAACTGGAAGGAATGCCTTCATTTTCAAGAAGTTATTCCTATAGGAAAAGTTACTGTTTTGAACACAAAATAACTTTCTGGCACGTAATAACACAAAGATTAAGGGAAAGCACACCCAGCTGTTCTGCTCACCAACATTTTCCCAGGTAATTCACTTTTCCAAGTGCTTTTCACCACAGCACCACCTTCTGTCACACCACAAGCCCTGTAAACCATGGGAGAGGTGGTTCACAGCATTAAGACAACGCCAACACACTACAGCTTCCATATAAAATTGCTTTCCTTGGATCCTGAGAAAAACTCAAAAGTGCAACTGGCTGGGAGCTTTGCATCAAAAAGGGTCCATGATGAAAGAAACCCAGTCACTCCAAAGCCAAAATATTTCATGGAAGACTTTTTTCCACTCATTTTTTTCCCAGGCTGCCATCATAAAACCTGAAACAAATATTTACTGTTACCTAGTCTGACCTCCTTCTGACAACTCTGGTTTGCAGAAATGACCTGAAATATTAATTTTCAAGTGGACTTCCTATTGGGTTATCTTGTCTCTTGGGAATAGTGGATCAGAGGCCTGGATGCCTTTGCAGATTCTTGCTCCCTTCTAAGCTGGACTCACACATGGCTTGGTAGAATCAGATCAGTAAATTAAATTAGAAAACATTTTGATTTAGAAAAGCCTTAGTTTTACTTGGAAAAAAGATGGTGAGACAAAACGTTCTGCTGCTTTAAAATAATTTTTGAACTTCTAACTCCTTGAACACTTTTCATATGTTAACTTTCATCCCTATTAGGAAGTGAAATAACTATTATGCACTTTCTATAGGACCATGGATGCTTACAACGTAAAGTTTAGTGCTGTCCAAAGAGGATAACATAAGACTGATCACAAAGCTGTCCTTTCAAAGTTCTCACTTTTTTGGTTATAACCTTTAATTTTAATTAGATTTTTCGATACTTGATGATTTTTATCACCATGAGGAGGTACTATAATAAAATCAGTAAGTTTTCCACAAATCAAGGAGATAAGAATTTCTCTGTTTTCACTAAACCTGTGTTTCAGTTACTCCAGATGTGGAAAATATCACATAGGCACAATATTTATACATATAAATGTAGACATGTTTATACTCAAACACACAAAATATATGTTACTTATGCACTTCTACATAAGGAAAGAAAAAAGGTCCAGGCAACACCTGAAAGGAACATCCTCTTCCACCACAATAGGCATATAAATACTATGTAGTAGTAATCATTGCAAAGATGCTACAATTCCTTATATATTACTCTCTTTTGTTTTTCTCATTATTTCATCTTCAAATTTCCATCTATCTTTTGAATGCCCTTTTGTGAGCTATGAGCTGCATTAAATATTGTAACATGTGTACAGTATTGTAGTCAAAGGGAAGAAACAGAAATACCCAACGCAGTTTTTTTTACACCTGCTCAGAGGGACAGTGACTCTTTCAGAATGTAGATAAAATACCAATATCGAATGGGAGAACAGAGGTTTTAAATTCCATATATCTCAGTCATGGTTTAATGCACATGTGCTTTAAATCATGCCCTATTTAACACTTGTGACTGTACAGTTGACCAAATTCTCCCCAGAAAATATTTCCACAACCTCTTTCAGCCACCTGAGAGAAATGTACAGCAACATTTTCTTTCTACAGAAAAATCATTCAGCTAGGTCTCCTTTACAGACAGTCATTTTCTGCCCCTGCAGCTAGAAAATAACTCTCTACGTAAAACACAAGATTTGGAAGATTTACCATTAACAAATATATGCACACACTGGAAATCAAGAGTTTCAGCTCATTGACTATAAAAAGATAATAAGCTGTGTCCTACCTATGGTGGTAATAACAGTGCCAGCAAAGAAGAAGGAACTTCCCAAGTCCCAGTGACTGATCTGAGCAGATGTGTTTCCTAAAGGTATGATTCCTGCATTTATTGCTGCCACTACTTGCTGCAAGTTTAAAAAGATTTTTGTCAATATTCATGAGACAATTGTATTCATATATATTACACAGTCAATTGATTAAATCACTTATTTCATCCAAGCACTAAACCAGAAAAATATCTGTGTTGCTTTGCTCGAGCTTTATCACTCAGTCAGGCTACAATTTATTCTTCAGCGACCACTCCAGGCAATTCAGAAGAGCTGTAAAGTCCAGACCATTAGGGAAAATGCCAAATCCACAATCTCTGTGATATTACTATCTTAGTTAGAAGGCAAACACAATTATTTTTACTGCTGCAACTATTTGGTGAAGAAAAACATGCATTAGACAAAATTTATAATGAGTTTCCCACAACGTTCCTGTGTTGTGATAGGCAAGCAAATGGACTTCTTAAAAACAGTCATTTTAAAACACCAAGAAAAAATACCCATGCATTGTTCTCTATCAAATTAATTCCAAATAAAGAAAACATTTTTATATAACAGACAATTCAATGATTAAAAAGATTACACATACAATTTTAAAACTTTCACTATAGCAACAAAAAATTCAGTCAAATATCAAACATACCTCTATGCAACTATATACTTTAGAAATGTTGTTCTTGAAAAATTCAGTTCTAGAAAATAAAACCAACAAGCTTGCCACTAATGACATTTTCATAGTCTCAAGAAATAGGAAACTTTTCTTCTTTCAGCAGTGTCAACTACTGTAAATTCTTATTACTAAATGTATTCCTGTTTTGTTATATCACAATTGCAGATATATACTGGTATTTGAGTTACAGTATTTTTAAACTTGCAATAAATATTTTAAAGAATAAAAGTTTCCATTTCATTCTGAATCTTTGAAACAGGATTTATTTCTAATCACAATACTTATAATAATTGGTGTCTAACAAAAGAAAAACAGAGGAAGTAATACCATAAAATGAAAATGAGAATTTTAACTAACTAGTAGTTCCTGCTGGGCAAGATGTACAGCAAAAATTAGGGACATAAATAGTGACAGGACAGACCAAAACCACCTTCCATTTGGACAGTCTGTTGCAGAGGAACAGTGTTGTACAGCAGTAATAATTTTTTCAGTCCCAAAATATATTGATAATTTGGAAATTAAAACATTTCTGTTACTAAACAGTGCCCACAGAAGTCACTTGGTCTGGGCAGAGATTATGAAGTAACAATGTGGGATTAACTAGGACTTTTTTTTTTTTTTATCATGGGACTTAAATCCAACATTTCCAGTTTGCCATTTTCAAAGCTCAGATGCACAAAGTAACCATTTTGAAGTCCACTGCCACACCTCTGCAACCACAGGGATCTTACTGTCAAACCAAAACCATTTCCACTATCCAGGGTTGTCAACAGAAAGCCAGCTGGGGTATCTTTACACAAATTTTCTATCTGCTTTCGTTTTATCTTTTTTTTTTTTTTTTTTTTTTTTTTTTTTTTTTTTTTTTTTTAAGTAACAGAAAGGCAAGCATCAAACAAGTGGGATTTTCAGTCCTACTGAGGAAGGAGAAAGGATGGGGAAAGTGAGGGGGAAGAGAGTTAAATTTTCCTTTGTGTTGGAAGGATAAATCTTCTACATTTGTACATGATGTACAACTTGGCAGGAGTGACTACAGCAGCACTGATACTGACAGGTGTTTCCATTAGTGTAGGAAGGGACACATCACACTGCAAGGCATGTGAAAACCATCCACTGAATGATTTTACAATTTACACAGCACAGACATGCCTTTGATTTACAAGGAGGTGTAAATCAGTGTGCTGTGTTTTACGGAGCCCACTGAGTACAGCCTGAGTGTTGTTATATTTCAGGGCACTGAGAACTGCTGTCACAAGTCCTGGTACCTGTACATGGGAACGTGTTGCTCTCCAGTGAGAAAACTGTATGATATAGCACTGGATCAATGTAATTATTTGAACCATCCTTGTTTTATTACAGTTTCTTGCACTGGATGAAGATGCTACCCAGAGCAATGCACCTGTTTAGGCAGTCTAGCAAGACCAAGCTTTATACAAATCCAGATGTAAAATGTTTCCAGGGCTTTTATCATCACTGCACATTTTTGAAGCCACATGTACCTCAAGGCCTTTTATATGAAAGGTGTTCCAATATAAACCACTCAACAATCCACTACAGCTATGCATTTCCTGGCTTCATCTACCATACCTACATTTTTTCTGGTTAAAAAAAATATACAACTTAACCCAAAACTGCCCAAGGCACAACAGACAATTAGCTGCTATTATTATGTCTGATTTTATCCAACTGCTAATCAGTAAAATAATTAGGGCTGCTTTCAGAGATGCTTCCTTTTCATACAGCCTCCTAAGTTCTGACTACGCACACTTTCAGGGACTTTCTGAGTAGGAGGCTGCATCTGCATCGTGGTGTTCAGATTGGCTTGGGTGAATTGCTTTGCCATTAATTTATCTAACTACTTTTGGAGCTCACTTGTATTTTGGGAGCCAAGTCATTCTGTGGCAGTAAAATCTCCAAATTACTTGTGGATCATTTAAAACATATTTCCCTTTTGAGAGTTTGTATGTGCTTCAAAGCAATTTTTTAAGTTCTTATGTTGTGAGGAAATCTTGAATAGCAATTTCTGGTTTGTCTCCTTCAAGAAATTAATGATCTTACAAACCATTCAGCTTCCTCTTTCTTTCCAAACTGAAGACACTTCCTTATTAAATAACGTATTCACCTATTTAAACAAATCTGTTGTATATCACATATAAGTATTTTTTTAATAAGTTTGGTCTTTTTTATTGCCAGTATCTTTCATTGACTTTCTTTGTACATTTACTGATTCATATTTGTAAATTTACTGACTGTTTTAGGCATAGTTTTAGTCATAAAGGGCCAGATGATGCCTTCATCATCATTGGGCTGTTGTTTCCAAACATACAATGTTATGCTTTCTCCTGGGCTGTGACCATGTTTGGGAGAAGCCAGACTAGATACCAACAAAGCTGCTGCATTTTATTCCTTCAGTGTAGCCTGTAAGAGTGTTCCTGACTAACAAAGGTGACAGGTGAGTAAGGTTACCGGTTTACTGGGATCAATACTACTGTCTTATAAAGTCTTCAAATGTTGCCTGCAGATTTTTTCAGGAAGGGTGACTGCATTTTCAGTTCTTTGGATCTGAGGATAACTTCTTCTTAGTCAGGTCAGCAATCATAAGAAGATCCAGATCTAAGACTATTCCCAAGAAAAATTTAAGAAAATCATATATTGTGTAACTCCTAACACTAGTCCATTTCAGGGCAATAATTTCAGGGTAGCATCACATGTCAATCACATAAACTTTACTGGAGGATTGGATATTAACACTTCTCTAGCTCTGAATAAAAACCCAGGCTCCACTAACTTCACTAAGGACCAGGATCTCAGCCTTAGCCTCCAAATAATAGGCTTATTTTTCACTGTCAGAGCTGTCACAGTCACTTCTCTGACACCTTAATTCTTGCCTATTTTTTGACTGATGCCTTACTACCACACCAAACTTCATTTGTCATGAGTTTGAAATTTTCCTTCCTTCCTTCCTTCCTTCCTTCCTTCCTTCCTTCCTTCCTTCCTTCCTTCCTTCC